CCCTCGATTAGCGACGCGCTGGAGAAGGATACCATCAGGCCAAAGTGGACATGAGAGAGGGATTTCTGCACCTACCAGTGGCCCCAGAAGAAGTCGATCTGCTCGGCTTTAAGTTCGCCGACCACGGCCAAGTTCCATCCCTTCAGATACGTCCCGTCTGGATTGGCGTCGTCGCCCTTCCGCTGCTGTCACCTCATGAGCAGAGTGCGCGAGAAGCTGCTCGACGTTGGCGTGCACGTGGCACTCGGCTTCGTGGAGGGAAAGGAAGAGATGCAGAGAGCGGCGAAGTGCCTGCGCTTAGCTCAGTCCTACACAGCAGCGTCGTCCCACCACGAGCGTTGAGCACGGCGCGCTTGCTCCAAGAGGGCGTGGTGACGAAGAAGGTGCAGGAGTGGCAAGAGGGCGAGAGAGTGATGGACGCCTTCAGACAGGAGGCAGAGAAAGCAGAAACAGAACAGGGAAATAAGGGCCCGTGTGCTTTAACGTACGTGTGTAAGTAAGGGCATGGGGAGGACAACCATAGGAGCGGGACCAGGGCGATCGCATGCGCAAGCCAAATCCATAAGCGAGACCAATAAATCGTGCGCCTGAGTAACATGTGCAGAGGGACACACACACAGCGACAGAAATGGCGATACATCGAGGTCACCCGAGCCATTCCCTGGTACACGTGCAGTCCCTCTGTCCGTTGCAGGCCCCCATCCGCTGTGTCCCGCCCGCCGCGAATCAGGCGATGTAGTCGTCGACGTTGGCACCGCCAGGTCGCCCGATACGTTTGCAGCGGCCCTGCAATGCCCATGCAGCCTCGGATTCGACCCCGCAGACGCGGAGCAAGTCGCCCTCGTGGCCAGGAGGGGCTTCCAAACCGGTCTCGCGGACTCGACAGTGAAAGAATACAGTCGAATTGCAGCGGAAGTGTTCAACAAGTGCCCTCAACTCTTCCCACTTGACTCACCCGAGAAGATCATTTACGCCCTCGCCACAGTGGTGCCAGGCCACGCACACAAGCTGCCCAAAGTCCGCGCAGCCCTTCGCCTCTGGCACACCATGAAGGGCTACCCCGAGCCGCCCTTCCAGAGCGACCAAGTGCAGCGTTTTCTGCGAGGCCTGACGGCCCATAGCAACGACATGTGCTGGAACGACTACGACCCCACAGTCCCGCTGCCAGCCGCGTATCTCCCACCACTGGTATGGCATTGGTGGCGCGCCACACCAACCGTCGCCACGCACGCCAACGTCCGCAATGCAGCCATCCCCCTCCTCCAGTTCTTCGGTGTGCGAAGGGCGGGTGAGTGCGAGTGGGAGACGTCGAGGCGACCGAGGACAAGGTCACCATCTTCGTGCGCAAACAGAAGAACGACCGCACGGGGCAAGGGCTGCGCCTGCAGCTGCCAGGCAAGCCCTCCCGGTTCCCGCACTTCAAAGAGCAGGGCACACCCCTCATCCGTCCCAAAGCGGGCGAACGCGCCAACACAAACGAACCAACCCAGCCGGTCGTCCTGGAACAGGGCCCTCAGGCGGGCGGCGCAAGAAGTGGGCATGCAGACGCGGGTATCGTCACACTCCCTCCGGAGGCC